ATTCAACTTCATTCTGTTGCATATGGATTTCCAGTTCTCCCAGCACCATTTGTTGAAGATGCTATCCTTTCTCCATTGCATGCTTTTGGCACCTTTGTCTAATATAAGGTAGTTGTAATTTTGTGGATTGGTCTCTGTGTCCTCTATTCTGTTCTATTCATGTTCTTGATTGTTTCCTTTGCTATGAARAAGCTTTTTAGTTTTATGCCATCCCATTTATTGATTCTTGGTAAATCATAAATTTAAATCAATTTCTCCCTCTAAGGTTTAAGAGATCCCATTCTGTTAAACATTACAAATATTTAAARTAATAGCATTCCTTAATACAGAAACATTTTTTCCAGAGTTGTGATTCTGTTAAACCTAATTATACCTAATTATAAATCTTTCCAAAATTGAAAAACACTTATGATGGATCGATTTTATCATTTTGCATGATTTTTGAGTTTGCCTTCTCAATTCACTTGAGTTTGGTAAAAAACAAGAGTTCAACCAAAAAATGAATTAATTCTTTTTGTCAACATTGATAGGATCCTCTGAACATTTTTTACAGCTGTTGTGACCATAAAAATAATTCCATAGTTCTGTGAGATGCTGGTCACATCACCCACACCCTTGGATTTCAATTGCACACTATCTAGTACATCTTTGTACTTATAGATTGAGTTTTACATTTCTTTAGCTCTTAAAATATGTGTAAATTTTTCCCATGTGCCTCTGACATCTTTGAGCCTCTTGGTATTCTGCACTCTTACAGTCTTCAATCATTGTGGACCATAACTCTTATTACAATGACATTGGATTGACTTCTGTCTATGGCTTAGGGTTTAKATTGATTACTTGATTGTACCATCCAAGTTCATCCTACTGACACAAAATAAAGATAACTGAAATCCCACTTCACTGACTGAGTGAAAATATACTATTTCTTCGTGTGATATGAGRAAAACTTAGGCACATAGAAGAAAAAAAGAAGAAGAAGAAAGCTCAGTTGGAAACACCAACATGTCCCCAGCAGGTTGAATTTTCTTAGACTCTGCACTTCCATATTGTTAGCATTCACCAAATACACTAGTCAGAGATGAGACAGGTACAAGGGAATACTTTTAATAAACACCTTAAGTGTGTTTATGAATGTCACTTGGGTAGTTCGGGAGGCTGTGATYATCCCAGTCATGCAGCCTCTGTTCAGAATCTATAGAAACTTGCCTATAGGACTTAATTCAAAAGATCTAAGGCATTCAATATGATTGACACCTTTTGACCTTTCAACTTACCTTTTGAAGCCACCTTGGATGAATTCTACTGAAAAACCCAACTTTTAAATCAGAAGAAAAGTGTGGCTTCAGCTGGGGCTGTAGGTCAGTGGTAAAGCCCTTGCCTAGCATGGAGGAAGCCCTCAAACATTATGAGATCTAAAATCATAAGCAGAAAAGAGAGTGGGCCAAAACGTCCCTTGTTGTGTACAAGTTAAAGAATGGTTACTCACATCTAGACAATCAATCTCTGACAGTGTACATTGTCCAAGAAAAATGGGAACCAAAGAGAGAATACTTTTATATTGTATAAGAATTGCCATTTTGTGTTGCCTAACATGCTATGCTAAGCAACTGTTGATGGGTACAGAGGTGTTGATGGGTACATCATGTAAGCGTTTCTTACATGATGTGGGGTAMATGGAGTCTGTTTGGTCATTGCCCATATAGCCTGGCCCATAACATAAGGAGTGTAACTTCTCATTCTTCTGGTTTTACATGAGGAAGAATTACATTGTTCATGTGATCATATATGCACATAGGATACTAATGACCAATTCATTCTATCATCTTTCCTATTCCATTCCCCCTCTCTTCCCTTCATTTCCTTTTGTCTAATCCAAAGTGCTTCTATTCTTCTCTAACCCAGCTCCCTTATTGTTAAACTGGTATCCATATATCAGAGAAAATATTCAGCCTTTGTTTTTTGGGGATTGGCTTATCACTTAGCATGATATTCTCAGTTTCATCCATTTACCAGCAGATAAAGGAATCCTAAAAAAAATTTTTTAAATGCACATTTTCTTACAAATGTCTAAAAGTCATTGGTCAGTTTTGTCATCTGTGAAGTGTAGTCAGTGAGCTCCATGGTGTCCATAAAATCTTTCATCACACAGGTGTGTGGTTCTGTAAAGCTCTGTTTCCTTTTCTATTGGGMTGAAACCCAAATATATCAGTCATTGTGGATTAGACAGACCCATGTCACATTCCTCTCATGGTTTCCTTTGCAGTCCTCATCAGAGTAATAATGAACTCATGATAGAAATTGTATCTGACCTACTGAAGCGGCTGCCGCTGACAGTGGAGAAAGAAGTGTGCCCCAGCACATTGAAAAGTCTCCTGTCCAGCTCCATTTGGGAGTCTCTCTATAAAAATATCAAAGGTGAGCATTTGATCTGAACTCCTTCCCCTTACCTCAGCCTCCTCAGGAATAAACTTTGCTGTCAGAGGAAGGCAGAGTCAGGAATAAAGTACAGTACCACAGCTGGAAAAAAGCTGAGGCAAGATGGGAAGCCAAATCTCCACTCTAGAGATAGGAGCAGAAAAGAAATTGATGGTGTCATTTGGGTCTTCACAGAGACCAAAAGTAAAGCAAACAAGAAARCAGCAACTCTGCTGGGGAAATTCTAAAAAGCTTTCTAGGTCCCTGTTCTTTCTGGCTCTGTGTCTCTGCTCTCTGGAACAGCATCTGGAGCAGCAGGGTTGAGATGAATCCTCTGATGGGGGACCTCTCAATACTGAGAAAGTAAGACAAGGAAGGGAAGGCCCAGAGTTGCCCAAATTAGTTCCAGGCACAGCTCCAAGGGGCTAAATTCCTGGACTGGGGCAATTTCTGAGTTAAATTTTAACATCCATATTCTAACCCMAAAACAATTCATTTGGAAACAAACGTTGAGCAATAGTCTATCAAAATAGTCATGCACCTCATAATGACATTTAAATTGACGACAGATCACATATGTATGATGGCCCCATAAAGTTATGTCACCTGGTGACATCAGAGTCATTTTAATTTAAGTAAGCACACCCTAATATTTGCATAAGGATGAAATCTATGGACGCATTTTTCAGAATTTGTCCCCAGTGTTAAGTGAGACATGACTGTGGTACTGAAATTTTTGAGTCTTGATCAAGGTTCATCRAATAAGGGATTTCAGGCTAAATCCAGTCTTTTATACAACTGGCAAGCTCAAAGGAATTTTTATATTATTTAATGGTTGAAAAAAAATCAATACTTTGTGACACATAACTACTATTTGAAATTCTGATTTGAGTGCCATAAGTAAAATTTTATTGGRATATGGCCATTCTTATTTGTTTAACTTTGTCTATGGCTGCAAGAGGAGAACCGAGTAATTGCAACAGAAATGATGCCGTCCATAAACCCTAAAAGATCTGCTATCTGAAACTTCTACAGAAAATGTTTATCTACCCCTGGTAAAGACATGTGAAATTTCTTTAACTTTCAAAACCTGTGTCCCTCTCATGCAAAGCCTYTTTTTAATCTATAACATATCAAAGTTTTATCTCTTTTTTTTTTAATTCCAGGCCATGATCCCCTTATCCATTGTGTCTTAATAGTCTTTTTGAACCAAGAAATAGGACGATTTAATAAGCTATTAAGTGTCATACATAAATCTTTAAAAGATCTTCAACTTGCTCTAAAAGGAGAGAGCATCCTCACTCAAGAACTGGAAGAAATATACGACTCTCTTCTCAATACAAAAGTTCCCTTACTGTGGCAGGTAAGCAATTACCATTCCCTGCTTACTTGGTTGCTTGAAAGAAACATCCAGGATCCAGGAAATGATTAGGTTAACAATGGTACATCTGTGTGGTGAAATTCTATGCAGTTATTTAAAAATGCTGACATACTTTTGATATGAGTACATATTCATACAACTTCTGAGAGGGCAATTTGGCAATTCCACTTAAATTTGCCTTAAATTTATACCAATTATAACAATATAAACAGGTATAACTATAACAAATATTAACAATATAAATTGTTATAACAATTATGATAATATAACAATATAATAATTCCTATAATGATTAATAGGAATTTGATTACATAAACTGTGGCACATCCAAATTGTGAGGTATATGCTGATATGGAAAAATATCTCCAAGATGTCTTATTAATTTGTTAAAGTTTTAGAAAAATGTCATTTTTAAGGATTATAAACTATACCTATGAAGGCATATATTTGCTTATAAAAAGCACATCTCTTTAGGCCAGATGCATGCTTTTAATCCCAGCCATTCAAGAGGCTGAGCCAGGAGGATCACAAGTTCAAGGCCAACCTCAGCAGTTTAGCAAGGCCTTAAGCAACTTAGCAAGACCTTGTCTCAAAATAAAAAATAAATTAAAGGGCTTGGATAGGACTCAGTGGTACAGTGCTTGCCTAGGATGCGTGAAGCACTGGGTTAGATTTCCAGCACTGCATAAATAAACAAAATATAAGTATTACCAAAAAAAAGGGCCAGGAATGTGGCTCAGTGGGTTAGTACTCCTGGGTCCAATCCCCAACMCSCCCCCCCCCCCGCAAAAAAAAAAAAGCACTTATATTTTACGTTCAGGAAACACAACTAAATGCTTTGGAAGAAAAAGCTCAGACAACAGTAGTTACCTTGTATGAAAGAGACTCATGGGTCTTGTGTGTGGGGGAAAAAGCTTTCATTCTACATCCCATGTTGTGCTATTTTTATTTTTTGTCATTTTCATATTTTAGTGACTGTAAAATTTTCAGTGTTTGCAAAGACCATGTAAGTTTTTTTTTTCCTTTGGATCACCTCCCAGTGAAAAAAATTAAAAACGTTTTATTTAAAAAAATTAATATTACTAAATGCATCAAAGAGCCTAATAAGAGAATGATGGGTTAACAGGTCAAAAACTGAGAGGAGCCTGGCACCATGGCGACACCTGTAATCCCAGCCACTTGGGAGGCCAAGGCAGGAGGATTGTGAGTTCAAAGGCAGCCTCAGCAAAAGCAAGGTGCTAAGCAACTCAGTGAGACCCTGTCTCTAAATAAAATACAAAATATGGCTGGGGATGAACTTTTGATTTGAAAATAAAGATAAACTAAAGCAGACCAAAAGAAGAGAGGTACATAAAATTCATCCTTAACAAAACTAGAAACTCTGAAATGCAAGAAAGAATGAAGAGGGTAAAAATGGTCAGAGAATTGGTAATCAATTATGACAGAAACAAAACAATACTAATATCCAATGGGATTTTTTTTCTTCTTAGAGAAGCACTGTTAATTTTGAAACAAAAGACCCAGAATAAAAAACAGTCAGCAATAACACATACACCAGAGTTGGGAATGTCTGGAATTTTTAGGTGTTATATTATCAAGAAGGAGGATAAAATTAGTAATGAACTTTACACTTTGACAAATTACATATGCATGATATAATTACCAAATTACCAAGGTAGCCACTAAAACAATCTAAACAAAATACAGAACCTTTGAAATAGTTGATTAGGGGGAAATACTCCTTATATTATTATGTGAACTAAAAAATTTTTTAAGATTCAAAATTTTTATACAGTTGATCTCTATATTTTAAAAGTATATAAACCCTTGCATATAGATATCAAGAGACATATACAAAAATATTTACAACATCATAACAGTAATGGCTGGATTTCCCATTCAGAACCATGAGCCAAATCATCTCTGTTCTTTATAAATAATCCAGTCTGGGGTGCTATGTTTTTACAGCAAAAAAAAAAAAATGGAATAAAACTCCTGCAATGAAATATTACCCTACTTGCAAAATGACTGAAATACCAACACTTGCTATACAGATGATCTTAAAAAAGAGTGGTTCTAGAGCTGGGGATATAGCTTAGTTGGTTGGGTGCTTGCCTTGCATGCACAAGGCCCTGGGTTCAATCCCCAGTACCACCAAAAAGGAAAAAAAAAAAAAATACAGTGGTTCTTGGGGGTGGGGTTATGACTCAGTGGTAGAGCACTTGCCTTGCATATGTGGGGCACTGTGTTCAGTCTCTCAGCACCACATAAATTAAATAAATAAAATGAAGATATTGTGTCCATTTACAACTAAAAATTTTTTTTGGAAAAGGGCTAGGAATGTGGCTCCATGGTTAAGCACCCCTGAGTTCAATCCCTGGTACCAAAAAAAACGAAGAGAAGAAGAAGAAAACATGGAGACAGGTTAAGAATCAGAGACAATTATGATTCTTTAAAACTGAATACAGAGCCACGCTCGGTGGCATACACCTGTAATCTCAGCTGCTTGAGAGGCTGAGGCAGGAAGATTGCAAGTTCAAAGCCAGTCTCAGCAACTTATTGAGGTCCTAAGCAACTTAGAGAGGCTCTGTCTCTACATAAAATATAAAAAGAGGGTTGGGGATATGGCTCGGTGGTTAAGCACCCAGGGATTCAATCCCCAGTACAAAAAAAAAATTGATTATAGACAATGATGAAAAATTGAAATGTGGAAGCTGTAAAGTTCACACATATGAAGTCCTTCACAGGGACTTCAGAATCAGAAAGGACCTTAGGGATCCTTTATTCCTGTGCCCTCATTGACTAGATAAAGGGATCAACAGAGGGGCTTTGCTGCTTGCTAAGAAAGCTAACTAGTGAAAGTGCTGGGCTCCCTGCAGCAGTTATGATGGGAGAACATGGTCTAGTTGGGAGACTGTAAATACAATTACGACAGACAACTGCATGTCTGACAGACTGACAAGACCTGGGATTAGCCAGATGGAAGGATATGTCTGGCTTGGACATTTAGGCAGACAGAGACTGCCATTCAGAGACTACGTGAGCAGAAAGAGATGCTGTTGGAGGAACAATGACAATGTGAAGCAAGACGTTGGTTTCATCAACCTAGCAAAACAGTGAAACCACAGCCATGGTGAAGTCCGGGAAAGGGACTGCGAAGCARCAAGAGAAGAGGGCAGCACTAACCTCAAGGGAGGGAAGGAAAGGAACCAATGAATGGGGTCTAGAAAAAAAATAGAGAATTCAAGAGAAAAAGCAAAGGAGAAGGAAGTAACCAGTTTAACCAAAAGTGGCAAAGGATTTGTACCAAATAAAACAGGTGTAGGGCGGGGGTTGTGGCTCAGCAATAGAGCGCTCTCCTCGMACGTGCAAGACCCTGCATTTGATCCTCAGCACCACATAAAAAAAATAAATAAGTGAAATAAAGGTATTGTGTCCAATTACAACTAAAATATAAATATTAAAAAATAAAAACGGGGGTGGGACACCATGAATATGGAAAGTTTTTATAAAGCTACTGATGACTTCTAATGTAGAGCAATAATGAACAGGAATCAATGAAGGCCTTCTCAAGAAGCTTGACCATAAACACAGAAGGAGGTTCAAGGACTTACGGACCCCCTTCCCCGTACACTCATTGTAGCAGACAAGTTAGAGGCTTCTGTATTTAAGATAAGAAGAGCGTGTTCATAACTGGATGGAAGCCAAGAGGAAATGCCCCAGAAAGGCAGGCAGAGCTGAGGGGCAGGGGTCAGCTTGGCTCAGAACTGGAAGGAAAAGGGAAGGACCAGACAGTGGGTGGTTGCTCAGGGGAAATCTGGGAAGTTGAAAGGCTCACACCCAATGGCATGTGAAAATAATGTCCCCAGAGAAGAGGAAAGAGAGGTGAGGAGATTATTGAAAGAATTTGAGAAGAGTCAGGAAAGCCTTAGCCAGAGTGGAAGCTTCCAAGGGTTTATTCAGTAAAGATAACCCTGTTTCTCCTGGGTATTCATTTTCAGACTTCTCACTATGTAAAAATGTTCATTTCAGTTGGAAAAGGACATTCTTCTGCCAACTTTTTTCTCCCTGGCAATTGAGTCTATTATAAAGTTTACAGAAATGTTCCCAATGATCCCAGAGGCAGATCTAAAAAAAAAAATGACATAATTGTCTCTAAATCTCAACAGAAATATGCCTACAAGTCATGCAGGTCCCTAAGCTCCTGGGTTAATGATCTCATGCAGCGACTGGATTTCTTCAATACCTGGGCCAAAGTGGCTTACACTGCAATACATCGTCGGTATGAATGAAAACTGCTTTGTTTCTTCCTTATTTTTACTAGAGCTTAACAGTYTATGAACTAATTTCACATGCTTGGTCTTTGGGTTCTCAGAGTAACATGTGAATTAAGGAGTAGATGAATTCTTGTCTTCCATTTAGGGTGAGAAAATGGGGATCTTGGGAGCTGAGAGTCCATTCAAGGTCCCTAAACTCTGAGACAGAGATAAGGACTAGCAGCCAGAACATTTTTTTCCATTATTCTACACAGCGTCCTAAGAAACACATAGAGAGAAATATGAAGTGGTATATGAAAAATTTGGCTACATGTGATTTTTCCATGTATTTTTGGTCATAATAAAAGCAGTGTGAAGGCCTGAGACTAGCTACCATTGACCAAGGGACTCACAGAGTATCAAGCCTCTTTCCAAGAGCATTGCTGTTCCTAACACACCAAGTATCCTAGTAACCCCCATCATCCTATTTCAGAGATGAGGAAGCTGAGGTGTATGAAGTAACTTTCCCAAGGTTTCACAAGTAGAAAATGGAAGTATTGAGGTTCGAACCCAGAAAATCTGGTACCAAAGTCTGTGCCAGGCTGCCTCTTAACCATTTAAGTATAAAGGAGTGTTAGAACAAATGCAAACACCAGACCACATCTCTGGGGATTCTTTTGGAGAAGTCTGTAACTCAGAAACAATTGATAAGACTCCAGAAGGCCCAGCCAGGTTCCCCACTGTAATAATGCCCTGTGTTACTCAATTCCATGGACTTCCAACCAAATCGCTTGTCTTCCTTTTCCCCTTACCAGCTTCAAAGCATACTTGGTGCCCATTAAAGTATAGCACAAGAGTCCTGAGTGGGAGGGAATTGAGTGGGAGGAATGGAGCTGGGGATACAGCTCAGTTGGTAGAGTGCCTGCCTCGCATGCACAAGGGCCTGGGTTCAATTCCCAGCAGAGAGAGAGAGAGAGAGAGAGAGAGAGAGAGAGAGAGAGAGAAAAGTGAAAGGATGAGAGCCTGGAGGGACTGGAGGAAATGGCCCAGGTCACCTGCAGGTATGCAATTATTATGTCCTTATGCACCTCACCTGGTCTGCTTCTCAACAGGTACATGAGATTCATCACAACTTCAAATGAAACTACTTTATCACCTAGTCAAAGCTTCACATACCTTCCTGAATCAGAGTCTGATTTCTATGAAGGATTTCCTGCAAGATACTGGCTCCCAGCTTTCTTCTTCCCACAAGGTGAGCATTAGAAACCAGGATCAGCCCTACACTGGGCCCAGTATCTCCACAACTCCTCACCCTCTTCACTAGTGGTTTAGACGACAGCACCTATGCCCTGGCAGGTACCAGGGCCTCTTCCCTCCTCTCTCACTTTCTTTCTTCATCAAAATAGGCTTACCTTTGTCAGATCGCACCTGTACCTTGGCAGGTCACTTTCTCATCTCTAGGCTATGATTCAGTGATGTCAAAGACCCTCCCTGAGACCACTATAACTTAGGAATTGATTCTGTRCTTCTGTTGTTTATTCATTTGTTGATAGATGGCTGAATGCTTGCTGGGACTGGGACCCCACCCGCTCAGCAGAAAAAATTGACCAGGATATTGTCAGATCAGGCTGGGCAGGCAGCAACCAAAGGAGGCAGATTTAAAAGGGCCGCTGAACAGGCTTTATTGAGATATCACTCCTGGGCAGAACTCGATYAGACCCACAGAGGGGACAGGGGAAGGGTCTGAGGAGAAACCGCATGGAAGCTCGACAGGACTGGACTTTTATGGAGCTTACAGCAGGAAGGGAAGGGCTTGGGACAGGAAAAGGTGTCTCTAGGGTCCCTTGCCCCCTTGGAGTTGGTCAGGGGAGTTGGCTGAACTACAGGATTGGCCAGGGGGTCCTGCTGATTGACAGGCGTTAGTCAGGAGATCTGGCTGATTGACAGGCGTTTCCAACGGCATCCGATTGATGTTCTTCTCCAGCCGGGCTGCTTTGTTCTAAGTTGCCACCAAGTCACCACTGACCTAATAGATATTGCCACAATGAGTGATCAGGGATGTACAGGAAGTTGTAAAGAAGCAGTAGTAGACTAGAAGCTTCAGGAGAACAGGAATGGGTCTGTTTTTATTGCTGTCATATCCATAGAACCTAATACTGTTACCGCTGTTTACCGGTGACAACTTGCTTCCCCGAATGCTGAAGTATAACACCAGAGAAGCACACGAGGCAAGTATAGAGTGGAAAGTAGAAGGCTTTATTAAAGGACAGCTTCGACTTCTCCCCAAGGAAAAAGGGGACCCAAAAGGCAGAATCCATGGAAGCGGGAGGTCTTCCCTTTTTTAAAGCTAAGGTCTTCTTTCAGCTTTCCCACAATCATCTCTTTGTCTACCTTTATCTTGCAGGGATAGAATGCAGGTGGGAAGGCCCAAAAGGTGGGAGATAGGTGGGTGGGGGAGTAATCTGAGCAGGAAGGGCCTGGGGCAGCTTTTGATTAGCACTTCCCTGTTTGCTGGGAGCTGCTTCATTAACACTTCCTTAGGATGGGTACTGGGCCTTGGGGACATTAACATTTCAATTTCCCCAAGTGCTGCTCTGGTTTCCTGGACTCCATTCTCAATAATGGCCTCCATTTTCTTTATTCTATTCAATATTAGACCCCATTTACCTAACTACACTACCTATTTGTAAATCTGGCTTCAATACTCCCCCAGCACCAGCGAAGTTCTCAATAAATATTTGCAGAATAACTAGATGTGTTTCTGAAGGAACATATGAACAAATCATTACTTTTGGAGCATGAAACATGGGTACCTTAATTCAGGGCCTGGAAGGAAATAAATGACTTTTAAAATGAGACTTGAAGGTTACTGCCAGTTAAGTGTTCTCCAGGTGGGGATGGAAGAAGAGGAGAATAATTAAAAGCACTTCCACAGTATTTATGGGGTGCCAGGCACTGTTCCAAGAACTTAGTATAAATTAAGTCATCCAATTCTCGTGACAATCTTTGGAGTCTGTTACTATTATCATCCCTATTTTCAGATAGAAAAATCTTGGCCCCTATGTTGTATGACTTTAGACAAATAAACAACAAAAATACTGATTAAGCTACGATTTGAACTTAGCCTGCCTGACTTAAAATGTCAAGTGTTCATCCATTGCCCAAAACTGAGAATAACATCTATATTGGTGATTATTCCAGAGTCCAGAGGTAAGAGAGAGGAAAGCAAATTAGAAGAAACCAAATGTTCATTATGATCAGAGCAAAAGACCCACAGAGGGAGAATGGTGTAGGATGAAGCTGGAAGGATGGGTCCAGGAACCCTAAAAGTTGATGCCACCCTGTGACCATGGGAGCTATTTAATGTGTTTCAGGCCAGAAGGGTCATGAACAATAGCTACAGGAAGGAAGAAGGGCAAGGGTGCACTGGAGGAGTACAAGGCCAGGTCCCAGCCATCCAGGGAGTCTGCTTTGCTCAGGGCAAGAACTCATGGTGCTCTGCAGTAGGGTGACGGTAGGGGAAGCAGAGAAGAAGTTGCGTAGACAGAAATTAGGAAAGAAAACCAACCAGACTCGGTGTTTGAAGTGATGGGGTGCAGGAGAGACAGATTGAGCAACTCTCAGGTCTCTGGCATAAACAGCTGAGTGGGTGCGAAAATAAAGGACACAGGGAGAAGAGCTAACTGGGATTAAAATGATGGCCATGTCAAGTTTGAGCTGTGTTTGTTGGTTTTCCTGCTGCACATAGCCTTGCTCTGTGTGGCCAGGGGTAAAATGACCACCATCCACTAAGCAACCACAGAGAAAAAAAGCGCCTTCCTCCTCCCAGTGTCCATATGTCATTTTCTGACAAAGATTCTGGCACACTTAGTCTTGTCCTCACTCTGGCCCCATATTTTTGCCAAGATGGCGTCAGAAGTGGATCCAAAATTTATAACTCCCCTATTCCCACAAACATATGGGGGAACAGGGGCTAGACCTACAGAAAAATCCACGTTCACCTCCACCAGGAGGCGTATGCACTTGCCAGACTAATAGCACAAAGACCTAAGTGAGGTGAGTGCACAGGTCTTGCCCTTATCTCTCTTTCTTCCTGACTTAGCTTCTCCACTCTTCTATCTCCATGAGGGAAGGGGTGTTGCCCACCCCTGAGGGAAGTCCAGAGACTCACAAGGAAATTGTTGGTATTTTTCTTCAAAGCCTTTCTTTCTGCTGTGCTTCAAGACTATGGAAGAGCCCAAGGAATCTCTATGGATGGCCTCACTTTTACCCACCATGTGACTTCTGACCCCAGTGACATCAAAGATGAGGAGCTCTCCATAATTATCCAAAAGAAGCTCAACACAGTCAGGAGAGCCTTTAAGGTACTGACAGGATTGGAAAGGGTAGTTGTTCATTCCCTCAATGAACCTTTATTCAGTACTTACCACCTGCCAGGTAACCAGAGAGGCAGACAAATAAGGCACAGAGCTCTTCAAGTCCAAATGCCATCCAACTGCGCCCGGCAGCCCACTTATTCCAGAGCTCAGCCAGGTGGCAAGCAAAATCTCCTCCCACCCCCAACCAACACTCAGCAAACACAGTGAGGATGGCCAGGAACACCCAGGTTGGGAGCGGTGGCCATGCAGCCAGCCATATGCTCCSGGTAATCCCAGCCCTGCTGTGCTCTCACCACCCACTACTTGAACGCTTGTGCTTACTAAGTGCCAATCTGCTCTAGGAATCTACTACTCCAGGGTCCACACTCAACCACGTTAAAAATGAGCTTATCACATTTCATTGTTTTAAACAACCTGTTAGGATTTTGAACAGTTTGCTCAAAATCAAGAAGGAATCGTTGTCTTTTAAATATCAGGGTTTTCCATCTAGAAACATAGTTGTTCCATTTGTTTAGGTCATTTACATCTTTCAGGAAATTTTGTTTTCTCCACATTGAAATTATCTTCAGGTTATTTTCTTAACAGTTTTCTTACAATTATTGTTTTTTGTGAATAGGATTTGTAGTACTGTACAACTGGCTCTTTGTCATGAGTCTTGTACTTGGGGTTAGTCAAATTTGAGGTTAAGGGCACAGTCTACCCAAGACTTCTAACACCGATAGCTAGTTTAGGAGTTTCCCAAAACAAATTTCAGGTGTAATAATTTACTAGAAAGACTCACAAAACTCCCAGAAAGCTCTTTTGTAAAGTTCCTGTTTGAGACTTTAGCCAACTTTTGATTGGCTAGTCTTTGTCATATTGATTGTTGAAGTTCTTTATAGATTCTGGAATAAGCCTTTTGTCAGGTTAATATATAGAATTTATCTTCTCTTGGTATGTGACTTTCCTTTTTACTTAGTGTTGTCTTCTGCTGAACAAAAATTCTTTGTTGTAATGAAGTCTGCTATATCCATCTCCTTTTTAAGTCCTAAGAAATCTTCCCATCGCAAGGTTACTAAAATCTTCTTTTGTTATCTCTGGAAGTTGTATGACTTTACTTTTCATATTTATGCTTCTGGTCCACATTGAATTGAGTTGGTGTATTGTATGAGGTGGAGTCAAAGTTTTTTGGGTTGCATGGTAGTACCCAACTGACTCAGTCTCATTTTTCTTTTATTGAAATGATGATCCTTACCCCACTTTAATTTTGTCGTAGATCAAATAATTGTCTATCCCTGGGCCTGTTTCTGAGTCACTAATATGTTTCACTGATGTGTCTGTCTTTGTGCCGCAGTTCTATTTTAATTATTGTTGCTTTACAGTATGTACTCATACGAAGTCCTCTAGCTTTGCTCTTCTTTACAGTTGACAATTGATTTTTGGAGAATTGACATCTCAGCAATATTGAGACCTTTTTATAATACATTTATTTGTAGATAAACACAATATATTTATTTTATTTTTTATTTTTATGTGGTGCGGGGGATCAAACCCAGTGCCTCACACATGCTAGGCAAGTGTTCTACCACTGAGCCACAACCCTGGCCCCAGCAATATTGAGACTTTTAATCTTAAATATTTAGTTTTTCTTTTTATTTCTCTAGCTTATCATGTATTTAGTTCTTCAATTTCTTTCTAGTACAATGTTCAATAACAAGGTGATAATGGACATTCTTGTCTTTTTCCTAAGACTCAGGGAATAGCCTTCACTATTCCACCATTAAGTATTACATCAATTATAGGCTTCTTTGTAGATTAAGAAGGTTGCCTCCTAGTCCTAGTTTGTCAAAAGGTTTTTTTTTTTTTTTAAATCATAAGTAGGTATTGAATTTATTAAACACTTTTCCCATGTCTACTGAAATAATCAGCTGGTTTTTATCCTTTGTTCTATTAACATGGTAGACGATATAGATACATGGATCTCGAGTTTATTTTGTTAAGATATAATTTCTAAATTAAGATTGTTTTAAATAAGAATGAAAGCTAAATGTAATGAAGGATCTTTTTGGTATCTCTGGAAATAATCACATGACTTTTTACCCAAAGATTTACATTGATCAAATCATCTTAATTATAATATTTTATTCAAAATTTTGTACCAATATTTAAGATTAGCTTGTAGGATTCAGTAGTGGGGTGGGGTTGGGGGAACGGAGGGTATATTGTTTTGTTTAGGTTTTACTGTGTGCATTACAGGTTGTGATTTCCTTAATCTAATTCTATCAACCATCTTTAGAGATCTCATAATTTCTGGTCTACTAGGGACACATCTTGTTTCCAGTGCTGTTATGAGTGTGTCTAGGGATCTGGGGTCATGGGAGGAGGCCAGGGCTCATGCTGTTCGGTCTCTTGCTCCAGTCCTGGTCTTCCTTTTCTTGGCACGCATCAGACTACACTTAGAAATGACTCAGAGAACATCTAGAGTGATTGCAGGTTGGAAACCTTTTCAGAAGGATGATACTGGGAGAATCCATTCTAGAAAAGACTTAGAAGAGAACTATTTAAAGGGGTGATGCATGAAGAACTAGACTCTAAATCTACTAGAACTCCAAAGGAGTGCCAGCCACAGAGGCTTCCAGGGGGTCTCACTGAGCATCAGGGCATCCACTTGATCCAAATTGCCCATGGTGGTTAGCACAGCTTCCATTTGTAGACAGTAAGTGCCCTGTTCCTGGAAGTTTAGGAAAAACAAAGTGACCACTAGGCAAGGATACCAAAGTGGAAGAAATTTAAAGTTCAGATGTGTTTTGGACTTGAAATTTGTCCAATTGTTTATCAATTCATTCACTCAAAAATATGTGTGCAAAACTGTGCTAGCTGTTGGAAATGAAAGATGAACAACACAGAGCCACTGGCCTCCAGAAGGTCAGAGCCTACCTGACCTGTCATGATGGCACCAAGGCCCCTTACCAACYTGCACTCAGCATTTATCATGTGTCAGAGACGCATAGGCTCTTTACCTGCATTATTTATGAAAAATTATCAGTTTTATAGGCCAGAATTAAGGTTCAAAGAGCCCAGACATGGCTTTGACTCCAAGGCTAGCCTGTTCTTCAGCCTGTCCAACACCTTCCTACACAACCCAGCAGACACAACGCTCAGGGAGGCAGGTTGCTCTGCGCCCTCTTCTCATGCCTCATAGGGACAAAGGGGGTGGGCTGCCCTCCCAAACTTGCTTTTTGTCTCTACCCATCTAATCAGATGTTCTCAGTTATTTCTGTTTATCCCATGAATCAGATTTGATTTAGGTAAATTTCCTTTCATTCATTTTGGTTAACTCTTGTGAGAATTAAGTCACCTCATCATGGACTGTTTGCAAATTACTTACATATTACGTCTTTTCTCTGAAAAACCCATGCATTCCATGTCCAAATCACACAAGTATAAACAAAGTCAAATGCATGAGACAACACTAGAGTCAACACAGTGTATGAAACTTAGCCTGTACGTTAAAGTCAAGTCATTACACAAAACAATTCCCAGTAAGTCTTTTATAGAATGTGCTTTATATGAATTCACCTTGCACCTCGAGGCAGGTCACATCCACAGAGTGGATAGCTGAGTCACCAAGCACAGCACAGGCTGTTCCACACTTCATCTCTGTGCCAACAAGCTGGTCTGGGAGAGCTGTGTCCATCCATCTCCTCAGAGAACTGCCGGATCATAGAAGGCTGAGGCCTCCTGGGCAGCTTAGTGCTCGGCCACTCAGCACTAAGTGCAGCACACCTGGAGAAGAGCAGGTGGCTTCACCAGCCCCCAGGCACTCCTGGAATTGGAGCTGCTGGCAACTCCAGTTTTCTGCTTAACACCACTCATCAGAAATTCACTTCACCCTTTATTATTCATTTAATGATTTATTTAATTTCAATCAGATATGATATAGAACCTTCACTGCCTCTTTTAAATTTTCAGAGCCCTACTGAGTAATGTAGCCACCATGGTAGAGGTAGGTGACAAAGTTTGAGCCTAGTAAAACRAGCTCATTTTACAACTGTTCTTGATTTCTTCTAAGAAGCTCAGCTCAGGATTACAATTGTAGAAATATGGGGTTTTCCTGTCTGAAAATACTTGTCAATTCAGGATCAGCACTAGAAGGCAGACAAAAGCCTACAATTCTAAATGCTCAGAATGGGAAAAACTTGGGACAACACACCAGGGATGGTCCCACGCTGGGATGGCATCTCCTCAGGGAGCTCCTGTTAGGCTGGCAGCTTCTGCCTGGGGACCTGCTGACACCATCTCTCTTCCATCTCAGGGCTTGAATTCCTCTCATGAAGGAGTTCATATTTTTGGCTTATTCCTTGAGGGAGCACGATGGAATCATGAACAAAATATACTAGAAGACTCGCTGCCTCTTGAAATGTGTTGTGACTTTCCCGACATATACTTTATGCCAACAAAGGTAATCACCCAGCTGTTCATCAGGAAGTCCTGATCTTCTTAGCTCCCCCTCACTAAGACACACCTCTCCTACTCCCCGGTACCCGCAATCTCAAGAGGAAAATATGATAGCTTCAGACCTCRCACGTTTAAAATAGCCCCGAGATTGCTAAAATCTGAAACAGATGCTGTATTAACATTCAATGTTATTTCTCTGTACTACAAAGCCATGGGAATTCCTCTAAATTAAATTCCCCACGTGCAAGTACATTAACTTACACATTCAATCCTTACCATATCCCCTGGACTTCATGTAGGGAAARTGTGAGCTAACTGGTTTTGAACTATGCAATTTGATTATTGGATTTTTTTCTCTTTCAAGATTTCTACTGAAACACCCAATGCTTCTAACCAGACAGATTCAGAACTCTATACTTTTGAATGTCCAATTTACCAGACACCTGAGAGGTCAAGAATTTTTAACACTGGTACTAGTCTACCAACAAACTTTCTGACATCAGTGTATTTATCAACGGCAAAACCTCCTAGTCACTGGATCACCATGCAGGTGGCATTGYTGTGTGAGAAGAATGAATGAAAAATAAACTTCCATACCAAACCATTTGAAGTTTTGACTCTTTATGCTGTYCAGACCCTCAAATATCATCAACACCCTTCCTAATGATGAGTGGTCAGCCAGACTGCGCAGTCTCTTTCATCTGTAGGTGAGGACATCATTATGTGGGGGAATCTTAGAGCTGCTTTTTGTTCTAAACTCATCAAGACCTAATGCTCGATGTCTGCAGCTGGGCTCTCGTGCAGGTCAGCATAACCTGGAACACAACAGGTTTGACTTAAACCAGCAAAGTTATTAGGGCATATTTCCAAAAAGCTTTTAACTCAAGTTAGTGGTTTGTGTTTTATATAAAATGCAATACACGTCCTTTGGAATACTCTACACTACTGGCCTACAGACTTCTAAAACAAAATGGAAGAGCCTTCCTTACTTAAAAGAAATGCAGCCTTGGTTCTGACCTCACTAGACTACAAAAACAAATCATGAGAATTCCATAAACAGGATTGATATATCTAAATGTGTTTCTATGGGAAGAATCTCCTTAACTGTACTCTATAATTGTAACTATCATTTTGGAACACTAACAAGAATTCCATTATAATCCTCAGACGCCCTGCTCTGTACCAGGTGGGCATGCCAGCCAAATTTTACAGCTTAATAACAGCCAGTGCTGAGACTAAACTCACCCAGGTTTGCATTTCTAAAAGGAAGGACAGCTATAATTCAAGGTTTCATTTTATTATCACTGGACTTTGGCAATGGACATACCCCAAGTCACACATGAAGATAACAATCCATTCTCTAACATAAGGAGGTGGAAGGGTGGGACTTATACCACAAATTGGACTCATAAACAGCCACAAAATGTTAATATGTACTTGCTTTCTGGTCTAGGAAACTATACTGTCTAAAAACAACAGTAGGAGCATAACTATAGAACTAAGACAGTCCCTGTCTCTTAGGAACCAAGGAGAAAATGATAAAGTGTACAATTTTACCAAAAGATAGAAGGTGGGGTCTTATTAGTTGCAATTCATTTGCTAAAAGTTTTTTAAATTATCCAGGATTTGTTAAAGCAACCCATACTTTCTGGAAACCACCAATACACAAGGCCTTTTCTTCAAACAAACAGTACAAAATTAAAGACCTTCAAGATATGAATCCTGTGCTAGATTTTTAATCAGCCCAGATTCTGACACACACACACCTTCTGCCACATTATGGGATGACAGGAGGAGGAATGAAGAACTGACTCCGTCTGATTTCCTCACTGAGCTCAGCCTGAGTGCTGCATTATCAGCTGGAAACCCAAATGGGCATCAGGCACTGTCTTAGACATAAATGCCTCTTTCTTAAAGGATGTACTGTCTTTTAAATAAACACAAATGCCTCTATGATTAATAGCTATTCATTTGAAGGTTATTATTGAATATGCAATAGTTTTTAGCATTTCTCAAACTGCAAATCCTAAATACACAACCATTTTCCGGGAGTTACCCACTCCCTCACCACTACCCTTTCAAGCTCTAACATTGTGACAGCTTCAATATAAACAGCAACTGGCCAAGGGACCCAGTTTGCCATTTGGATGCCCAGTGATCCAGGAAGGTCCCAGAGGAATAATCCTAGAAAGAGCAGGGGGCGGGGAGGGTTAGTGAAGGATTTGTCTTGGTGACAATAATCCCAAAGTTGCAGGCAAAAATAAAATAAAATAAGGATCAAAAGTAATCAAAGCAACATTTTTATTTTCAATTTTATTTCCAACTTAAAACATAAAGCATAACATACCAAAAGCAAAATTAAACCAAACTGTAGCTGATGTCCAAGCACTGCAGTACTCATCTGATAACAAACCTTTTTCGTTGCCAGGAAAAAAACTGAATGTCCTCCATCCTCCCCCAAAACCTCYCTGTGATCCAGCCCAGAACCTGCTAGAACACCACTTTCCAATACCAGGAGAAAAGCATAACTTAAAAAAAAAAAAAAAGGCAACAAAAAAATTTGCTTGCATACATCAGTACTGATAAAACACTGACAATTTCACCAAAGCAATGTTTAAACATTAMAGGATGCAGAATGCTAGAGAAAACCAACTCCATGATCACATTAACATAAGCTAGGTTATAGATACTTCAAATTGCAGGGTAGGATGAACACTGCATATCTAAATGGCTCATATATAAAATGTAGAATTAAAACCCAAACATACACTATAAGTATTACATTCCCCTATGTTTAAGATACTGAGAACAATTAGTTTTTAATACAAAAGTTTGGTGAATTTGCTACTGTTCCATTATAGGACAATTAATAATGAATGAGACTACATCAACTTCACTAGAATTTAAAGGTTAAATTTCCTTTATGCACATCTATTAAAAGAAGTAACTTTAAGTTAACGCCTTGTTTTCAGATAGTACTCCTTTCAAGGTTTTGTGGACATAAAGGACATGTGGACAAAATACAGTATAAACTGCATGAGCTAAACAGTAGCAAAATCACTGTTCAATTTAAATGAATAGTAGCAAAAACACTGTTGAATTTTAAAGTCAAAAAAATATATAAAAATAGTAGCCTTAAATGGCAAATTTTCGAACACCAATGTTTGTAAAAAAAATGTTTAAATAGTAATGTTTCTCCAAAAATATATATTTATTCTATTTTTTCTATTTGTAAGAGTTTATAAAGGCAAACACACACCTGCAATTGAGGTAGCAAAGCCAAATTCACAAACTTTGGATTAAGAAAAAATACCTTTCCTATGTTTTAAGAGCATCTTCTATACAATATTAAATGAATTCTAATTGCTTCAAAATTTTTAATTCACATGTATTACTTTACAAAACTTAATTTAAAATACTGAAAATGTTTTTGTTAAAAAGCTACTTTAGTCCTGACAATTATCTCACATTCAAAATACTGTACAGAAAAATCTGAAGTCACCATATATTACATAAAAATAAGCTATGTATGTACATTTTCAAATGCAGTTTCAGAAGTTGAAGTTACGCCAACTGCTACCAATGGGCCTCTTTAAACAGTGTCTGCTCCTAGCCTGCCATCACTCTCCATGTACAGCGAATTYCTTTAAAAATCACATAACTTGTAAATGATTTAAAGAGAAGCAAATGAAATTGTTTTCTTAATACAATGAAACACAAATGTATTCTAAATGGAACAGTGTTTTCACTTAAGAAAAACCAACTGGCAAAAGGGAAAAAAAATCAAAATTTGGAATTAAAAACTATAAATATCAATAGTATTCTTTTCAGTGCATTTAAGACTAGCTTTGTTGGTTTTTTTTTTTTCAAATTTTTAAGGATTGAAAATTTCCTATTAAAAGCAAATTCTAAATTTGTATAGTTCCTGACATTGTTATTAATTTAATAAAAATACACATGGCTATATTAACAGACATACTAGTTGGCTCTAGAGTCCTGACTCAAAACTTAAAGATCCTGTCAGTGCAATGAGAGTTTGGATTTTTTTTCCCCTGTTTTCACAAATGGAAGCCTAAACAATGGGAGCATTTTTAATCACCAGAACAGAATCAGTAAATGTACGGGAAGATTCGGTAGGGCACTCGCTGGCAGTATTTCTCCCACGCCAGGCCRTACTTCTTCTTACACTGGTGCTCATCGCGTGCTTCTCGGTGGACAAGCAAAATGGTGAAGTAAATCACATAGAAATAAGGCAGGATGTGATTAAAACCTGTGGAAAATAACAGTCAAAAGCATTGGACWTTTTTTTTTCCCCTACACTGCAGTTTTTCCTGCCTTTCCTCAAATTCTCTAAGAATCAGTTTTCCAGAATCTATGTACTCTGTGTAGAAAAAAATCAGGCACAGTTTAAAACTCAAAATTTTTTATTTGTAGAAGTTCAAAGTAAAACTTCAGGCTCTGTGAATCCCAATTCACCACAGAAACGGGGTAAATAAGTTGTTGCATAGACAAAAAAACAGAACCCAGCTCAGGAGGAACTCAGCAGAGGCAATCCCAACCCACCACTGTCAGCAGAAGACTCACGCTGACCCCTGCCCACTCTGTCCCAACTAAAGACACACACACATCTTTCAATGGGCTGAAATGCTTACCACAAGGCAGGGACCATGCCAGGGCCATGATGAGATCACCCAAGTAATTGGGGTGGCGAACAAAGCCCCACCATCCAGAAACTAGAAGATTTTTTCCCGTAGAAGTATGAATGGTTTTTAAATCTATATAAAAACAAAAATACATTTTTAATGATCTCTAAAAAAGAGACATAAAATCCTCATTCAATATACATCATACAAATATAAACTACTACTTACGAGCAAGCTTTGGATTAGTGGGATTTTTCCGGAATTCATTCTTCTGAGAATTTGCACACCGGAAGATTACATATCCACAAACTGTAATTTTAAAATAGTTTTTTGTTAATTTAGATATAACCTAATACATAAAATTATCTGTAATTTCTCTCAGAAATTATTTCAGGGCTCTGAGGAAATGTTCAAAGCAGAGAACATTCTGATTTTTAAAAACAATTTGAAAACTCTCAAGCCCAGAATGTCAAAAAGCAACTCTTTAGAAATCTCTCTCATTATATACCTTAAAGGCAAAATGCAATCACATCCCCAAATAAAATAAAATCTAAGAAAGCCCACGACAATAAAATCAGTGCTAGAGTTTAGTGTAAGTTAGTTTTGATACCTAACATGAACACTTTATTAATAAAATAAACACCAGCTTAGAACCAGTACCACTTCAAATCTATGTGGAATCCCACTGCAAACCTACAAGTTAGTAGCTTTATTTAAATTTCAAAATGTTGACATCAACAGGCCCTGACTTACCTATTGTACTGTCAGTCCTGAATAAATAGAAATACATCTATTCCATATTTTTAGCTTAACTGTAAAATATATAATACTGCTTTGAATAACACACAGGCACACTTGATACAGATAACCAAACCAATGGTGAAACCAAATCTTTTTTTTTTTTTTTTTTGGTACCAGGGTTTGAACCCAGGGGTGC